AAAAAAAAAAAAAAAAAAAGAATGTCCACACATTTATCTCTGAAGTTCTGTCCCACGTCCTTCCCCTGCTTAGTCTTTCCCAAGATGGTGACTCTGGGAGCGACTGAGTATCTTGAATTAGAAAGCACTGGATTTCTTGTTTCTGCTACAAATTCTCCTGGCTATAAGCCTCCCAACCTTCTAAATATTCCTTTATATGTGGTTCAGAGTTCTGGGGGTAAGCCTGAGCCTGCTTGGTCTGGTATTCTGTGTTGTTGCTGACGGAGCTCCTCATTGCACTTCTACCAGATCCGCCATCTTGTTTGTTCTATAGTAGTTGTAGTTAAGTGCCATTGAGTTGATTCTGATCCATAGCGACCCTGTATAGGGCTTCTGAGGAGCAACTGGTGAGCTTGAACCACCAACCTTGCAGTTCAAATGACTTTGCAGTCTGACGCATTAGCCTACAGAGCCACACCAGGACTCTATAGTTATCTTTTATGTTGTTTAAAAAGTATTTACAATGAAGAAATCACTGGTCTTGCAAAATTCTATCATGTGATCCCCAGCATTTCTATCACCAAGGCCATATATTCCAATTACTGATCCTTCCTCCTTGTTTACAACCGTTGCATTCCAATCATCAGTAATTATCTTGTAAATACATCTTGTAAATAATTATCAGTAAATACATCTTGAGTTCATGTTTGATCAATTTCAGACTGAAGAAGTTGGTAGAATTCTTCAATTTCGTCCTCACTAACTTTAGTGGTTGATGCATAAATTTTAATAATAGTGGTATTAACTGGTCTTCCCTGTAGGTGCATGGATATTGTCCTATCACACACATTATACTTCAAAACAGATCTCGGTATGTTCTTTTGATGATGAATGGGACATCATTCCTCTTCAATTTGCCATTTCTGGTATAGTAAACTATGTGATTGTCAGACTCAAAATGGTTAATACCAGTCCATTTCAGCTCACTAATGCCTAAGATATCAATGTTTATGCGTTCCTTTTCATTTTTGACAATTTCAAACTTTCCTAGATTCATACTTCATACAGTTCGTGTTCCAATTATTAATGGATGTTTACAGCTGTTTCTCTTCATTTTGAGTTGTGCTGCATCAGCCAATGAAGGGCCTGAATGCTTTATCCATTCATGTCATCATGGTCAACTCTCCTTTGACATGAAGAGGGCAGCTCTTCCCCAGTCATATTTTGGATGCCTTCTCACCTGACGGGCTCATCTTCCCGTACTATATCTGGCAATATTCTGGTGCTCTTCATCATGTTTCAATATTCAATATCCCAGTGCTGACAGTGTTCTGCTGCTATTTGTAAGGTTTTCAGTGACTAAACATTCAGAAGTAGTCCATTTCTTCTTCCTAGTCTGTCTTCGTCTGGAAACTCAGCTGAAATCTGTCCACCATGGGTGACCCTGCTGATATTTAAGATACCCTTGACAAAGCTTCCAGAATCACATCAACATGTAAGCCATGACAGTATGAAGAACTGACAGTCAAGTGGTGGGTTATTAGCCTTAATGAAGCCCAATTTGAGCCAACTTGGTCATTGGGAGTCTTTTCAATTTGGTTGCTGATTCAATCTACTAGTTCCTAATGGTTGCCAAATTTTTTGGAACGAGATGATGTTTCAGAATCTGAAAATCTATACATTTTCTGTTCTAAATCTCTGTATCTCCTTTCTTCCATACTGACATTTCTGGGCTTCAAAGGCACAGAGTAACAGAAGTAGACGATTACATAGTTGCTAATCAATTTCAGATTGAGGAAGTTGATAGAATTCTTCAATTTCATCATCATTGGCTTTAGTGGTTTGTGTGTAAATTTGAATAATAGTGGTATTAACTGGTCTTCCTTGTCCATAAAAAAAAAAAAAAATTATATATATATACCAAGCTCTATCTTGAATACAATGATGTCAGTGATAGGATAATATTCATACTCTTACAAGGAGCTCAGACAGCATAGTGGTTATGAATCGGGCTGCTTTATCTTACATGACGCACATAACAGCCTGAGAATAGCATCCTAATATGTCACTATCAACTACCGATATACTCACTGAGAACAGTTTTAGTTGCAGGTCTCTAAATGGCCTTCTTTACTTTCCACTGACTGCTCATTAATAATAGAGGGGAGGAGGAGGTCATCTGTCTCAGGTCCATCAGATGTCCCATTGCTGTCTCCATCCCAAGGATGATGTCATGCTGGTCTTAGGACTAGTAATGATTATTTTTCTACACCTTTGTATTTTGGGGTTCAGAGAGATGCATTGGGACCTAGTTTTGTTGTAAATATTGTCCTTGGGGTTTTAGAATCACTGTCTAATTGTTCCATTTCTAAGTATTTGATTTTTCTTTTTTTTTTAAATAAACTATGCTGTCACCACTAGCTAATCTTTCAAGAAACTTCTTATTGACTTACATTTGAATAACTCTGGACTACGAGGGTGTCTGAACCTGTAAAGATTTCAGTTTTGGAAACTCAAAGGAACAATCGTATCCTTTCTTACAGGGTGTCTATGAATTGGAATCCACTTGACAGCAGTGGGGCTCTCTTTCTGATAATAATATAATGGATCTTGGTGTGACCCTATAGGCTAAGCCCTGGACTGCTAACCCCAAAGTTGGCAGTTCAATCCACTAGCAGCTCCTCAAAAACCCTATACAAGGTTGCTATAAGTTGGAGCTGACTCAAAGGCACTTAATAATAATAATAACATGGTGATGTATAATGTTAAATTTGCAAAGTGGAGGGTTATCATATATGAGGATGACCCTCGATGAGACTGATTGACACAGTGGCAGCAACAATGGCTCAAACATGACAACAATTGTGAGGATAGTGCAGGACCTGGGAGTGCTTTGTTCTGTTGTTCATAGAGGCGCCATGAGTCTGAACTGACTCAACTGCATCAACAACAACAACATAACGGTGGTAGCCCTTTCAGAATGAAACTTCCTCAGATAAAGTAACCTCATACATATTAATGCAATTAATAAAATCTGTAAACTTGAACATTTAATGCATTTTATCAAGAAAATCCCAAAATGAATGTGTACATTTTGTGAACAGGAAATCCTCATGGGATGTTAGAGAACATACCTTTCATGAATGAGGCTGAAGCCACTTTGTTCATTATCTCCTGGGTTGCTTCGGATTTGGGTGCAAATGCAACAACGTAATCAGAATCATTAAAACTATCGACTCGTCCCAGATCCATGGCAGACATTTGATGAAAATCATTAACGTAGTGATGCAAATTTGAGGAAAACAGATAAACAAACAGTACCAGAAGAAATGAGAAAACCCATTCCTATATAGCAACGGGAGAGAAATAAAACCAATCAGTGGGCGCTCACCTGCAGAGTCATCACCCACAACTAACTTAGAACACTCAAGTCTGTTTAGTCTAGATTGTGTTTACCTTCTTTCAAGTTTGTAATGTTTGAAATCTCTTCCGCCCTTGAACCCATTTTGAAATATGCAAAGTTGTCAAGCAAAGTTGAAGCAACAACTCTGACTATAATTGGGAATCTGAGTTGGTCATAATTTAAGACAAATCAGAGAAAGATTAGATTACTTTTTTGAATGACCTAATGGCTTATTTCTTGATTTTTGATAAGTACCCTCCAGTCAGTTCGGATGCATAGTGACCCATGTATAAGGTTCTGGATTTGAACTGCTGAACTTGCGGCTCAGAGACAATGATAAAGAAGTATTGTTGTTGTTATGTGCCGTGGAGTCAGTTCTGACTCATAGCCACCCTGTACAGGGTTTCAGAGGCTGCAAATCTTTACGGGAGCAGAAAGCCTCATCTTTCTCCCGCGGTATTAGATGGCATGAAATAAACAGCTCCCATCAACAGAACAGGATCTGATTTTATCTTCTGCTGCCTGCTTGTGAAAGAAGATTGTCCCTAGACATTGCTCATCACTGACAATATTCTGGAATTGAAAACAACAGAATGCATTTGCAGCGATAGGAATGCACTTATAAAATTAACATCATTCTAAACATACAGCTTTTAAAGGAGGTACGTGTTGCATTTCCCATATGACCCTCTCTGTGTGTGTGTGTGTGTCTAGAACCATTACAAATGAGAGTTAAATGATTGGAAGCAAAATATCCACATGGGGTAGGAATGCCATCTTACATACTTGTATTTATAAAATCCTTGTTCCATGAAGGCAGGGATGTTTGTCTACTTAATTCACTGTCAATTCTCAGCATCTGGAACTGTGCCCAGCACAATACAGATGTTCAATTCTTGTTTGGTGAATAAAAAGACCTACATAAATGCACAAGGAGCTCTGGTAGCGTAGTGGTTATGAATCAGGCTGCAAATCGCAAGGTCAGCAATTCAAAACTACCAGCTGTTCTGCAGGTGAAAGATGAGGCTTTCTGCTCCCATAAAGATTTACAGCCTCAGAAACCCTGTACAGGGTCGCTATGAATTGGAACCAACTCCACGGCATACAACCCCACCACCACATATATGCACCCACACAATATTGATAAAAGTTGATGAACATAGATATTCTATGAATGATTTTATTCTCTATTTTATGTAAAAGAGAACAAATGTATTCTTAAAATCAGAAGAAAATAACTAACATAGTAGCTTTTATGAGCAGAATAAATGTTCAAATTGCCGTTATATTTTTCTGTTGGTTTGAATGCTCCGCATGTCTTTGAAATTGACATTGTCTGCATCCATAGCGCGCTTGTGTAAATCTGCCTCAATTTGTCTTGTGAGTCTGTATTACTTTTGGGACTTCTTTCAGGATTAATTCTGGATTAAATTCTGTGTCTTTCTTTAACATTGGCCCTGAACTTCAGGACCTATGTTTTCATGAAATTCAAATGACTTTAGATGTTAAGAATTGTTACCTTTGTGATATATAGAAGTTACTTTATTCTTCACAGCTTCTGAATGTGAATTTAAAAAATTACACTCCCATTAAGACAAAAGATAATAATATGTAATTATAGCGGTCTTATTTGCAATAATATCAGGTGATAGAGCTAAAACAAAAACAAAAAACCTGGCCTGCTAATTAAAAATACACAAGCATTAAATAATTATGATAGCATATTTACATACACGAAAACATCTACTTTCTTATTCCAAATTTGAGAAGGTATGTGTTCTGGATCTTACCAACGAGGTCTCTCTTTTCATCCTCCATTTTTTAAGAAAATTCTTGCAGAGAAGGGCCCATGTTTGCTGACCCACACTGATGTGTCTCTTGCTCATTTTGACTTGTTTATTTGTAAAAAGAGGTAAAGGACGCACATGTGAAGATCTGAAATAGAAAACATGATGCGATCAAACAAAAAGTTATAACAGATGTTTCCGTTGCATGTCTAGAAAATAAGCAAGCCCAAAAGATGAATATACATATATAGGAGGGGGTTTCAAAAATTTGTGGAAAAATGAAATTAAAAGATAATGGAATTTTTCCAGAAACTTTCTCATTAATATTGAAAGGAAAAAAATTAAAGCAATTATGAGATGTCATTTGCCTCTTACTGGCCAGACAAAATTTACTAAGTTTCAGAATGTCTAGTGTTGTCCCCACAATACTTAGTACAATTAAATATTCGAATGAGGTTAAGGAGTTCTGGTGTGGCACTGTGGGCCAATGTGTTGGACTGCAAAGTTGGTTTGAACCACAACGTCGGTGGTTCAAGCTCACCAGCTATGCCTTTGAAACTCTATAAAGGGTCACTATGGGTCAGCATTTAACAACAGCAACAATGAAGTTAAAATAGTTTTCATGTACTGCTGATGGGACAGAGAATTATCCAATCATTTTGGTGAGCAATATATTGTTGTTAAGTGCTGTTGAGTCAGTTCCAACTCATAGTGACCCTGGATAGGGTTTCCAAGGAGCGTCTGGTGGATTTGAACCACTGACTTTAGGTTTCCAACCAGTTTAGACTGCAAGGTCAGCAGTTCTAATCCACCAACTGATTCTTGGAAACCCTATACAAGGTCACTGAGTCAGAACTGATTCAACAGCCCTTAACAACAACAAGTAATATTCTATGAAGCCCAGTTTACACAGAGTTTCAGCACAGGTGCTCACCTAAAGGTTGACAATTTGAACCCACCAACCACTCCATGGCAGGAAGTTGGGATAGTCGTCTTCCTGAAAGAGTTACAGCCTTGGAAGCCATTTTGGAAAGTTGTGTTCTGTCCCACAGTGTTGCTATGAGTCAGAATTCACTCGAGAGGCAGGAATAGCCCATCATTAATTAATTCTGCTCCTGGATACTTATGCTAAGAAAATTCTTGCTCAGTCCATGAAGGTACTTATATGAATAAGTATGTTTATCATAATCTAGATTGTTGTAGTAGAGTGTTAGAAAATACATTTTGATTGATGTAGATAATAGAATACTATGAAAAAATCAGAAACGATGGATTGATATCCACCTAGCAACATAGAGTGATCGTACTACTACAATGTCAATATAAAAAGAAAAAAAAATTAAAGAAAAAGATGAGAAGTGCAGCACAAAATTAATTATATTTATTAATGTAAAATACAATACACATTTTTCTAAAACACCCAGGAAAGCAATTATGAGATGAGGAAAGGACTCCATCAAATACAACGAGAAGGTTGCCAGTAGACATTGGAAAAGGGAATGAAAGTAGGATAGGAAATGGAAATTGGAAACTAAAGAAAATAAATAGACCAAACAAGATTTACCTTTTAAAGGTGCGAGGAACTCAAGGATGAGATTAACTCTACACTTTGTAAAAGAGAGTTTTCCTTTTAATCTCACAACAACCATACAAACAATAAGCCAAACAGCAAAACAAGACAAAACATAAAAACATATAGATAGAAAATCTCATGGATGTGTTGGAAGATACCCTATTGTTATGGCTGAACAAAGCGATTAAGTCTACTTTGAACACAGGAAATTGGAGTCAAAATAATATGAACTAACACAATGGCTTCCCATGTTCTGACCAGCTATAAGTGCCTTATATGAGTGAATTAATTTACTTCTCACAAGAAAACTTTGGGGCAGATAATATTATCTTCCTCATTTTACAGATGAGGAAAATGAGGCACAGAGATGATGTGACTTGCCAAACGTGGCCAATTGTGGCAGAGGCCAGGATGCTAACCTAGACAATTGAGTTCTGGTTTCCACATGTTTGACCAGTGTGCTACATTGTTGAGAATTTCAGCCTGTGACTGAAGACATCAGTCCTTTCTCCAGTCCAAGATACAAGATCCTATTCCTTTTCAGACCAGTGGTGCAGAGCTCCAGGCTGGATCCAGTAAATATGTTTATACACAGGCTTTGGTCTGTCCAGTCAATACCAGGATCCCAAAAATGCTGGAATATGAAAAAATCAAGGTTACCTGCCAGATGAAGAGAAAAATACATGATTTTGAAAAATAACTAAATAAACATAAGAAAAACTTAAAGTCTGCCATTTAATGACTCTTCACAATAGCACAAAGATGGAAACAACATAAATATAACTGCCTATGAACAGACGAATGGGTACAAACAGCAGGATACTACGCAACATTAAAGAATCACAATGAATCTGTGAAACGTCTCATAACAAGGATGAGCCTGGAAGAC